ACACAAATATCAGCCCATAGATAACTCCCATCCTCTCTTCAGCCGGTTTGAGCCTCTAGGAGGCGCTATAGAGTCCCTCTGACAACTAAAAATGTATTTAAAAAGCCCTTCATCCTCAGTGCCATTCATTCTTAACTTCTTTCAATTCTTAACTCTACAAAGTGACTCTAAGCCACAGGCAGTAACAGGAACTGTTTTAAAATGTGTAATGTGACTTTGTTTGTTCTGCTCGTTTGTATCTTGTTTTGGTGAGACAGAGACAGAGACAGGTTTCCACCACAGTGGACAATAAAGAAATATTCTATTCTATACCAAGAACATCTCTGAAACTGTCCTCTCTCCCCAGGCTTACTGACATTCATCAACTCTGCCTACGTGAAGTGGGGCACCCGCGTGCAGGACATTTTCACCTACGCCAAGGTGGCGGCCCTCATCGTCATCATCATCACTGGCATCGTCAAGCTGTGCCAGGGTGAGCGGTGTCACCACACAGCACCCTTTCCACACTGTTCCTCTGTGTCATACTCTAACTGTTAAAGGATAAAGGAATAACCAAGGACAGGGGTAGCCCACCTGCTCTGTGATCAGTGGTGGTTCTGTGGTTTCCCACACAGCTCTTCGTTGTGTGGCAGAGAAAAAGAACTGGGAATTTGGGTAGATAATTGATGGGAAGGCTTGGGATCATTTGGGATTTTGTGGCTTGTGTGCGTTGCGTTGTCAGTAGCATTCACACAATGATGGAATAACACTTCTCTACCAGCCAGATGTGACAAATGCAGTATTATGATCGTTGTGTACGTGGATGCAATATAATTTCACCAGTTGTCCCTTTAACTGTTTGTTTCTGTCTCAGGTTACACAGCCAACTTTGAATCAGCCTTTCAGGGATCGTCTACGGATCCCGGTGACATTGCGCTGGCGCTCTACTCCGCCCTCTTCTCCTATTCCGGCTGGGACACCCTCAACTTTGTTACAGAGGAGATCAAAAACCCTGAAAGGTAACTTCCTTTTCGGTAGAAAGCCCGCGCAGAGGCGAGTCAGAATCCTTGAATGAGCCTGATAATGAACCAGTGTCCTGCTGTTTCAGGAACCTGCCTCTGGCCATCGCCATCTCTATGCCGATTGTCACCATCATCTACATCCTCACCAATGTGGCCTACTACGCTGTTCTGGATGTCAGTGCTATACTGGCCAGTGACGCAGTGGCAGTGGTACGTAAATAAACTAACAAAACAAGTGGAGGAGACAGAGAATGAGAAGCATGCGTATACGCTGAAAGTGCAGCAGCTAAACCAGTTCCTGTCTCTCTCTCTCTCTCAGACATTTGCAGATCACACACTTGGTGTGATGGGCTGGACCATCCCCATTGCTGTAGCTCTGTCCTGCTATGGAGGCCTCAACGCCTCCATTATAGCTGCATCCAGGTCTCACACACACACACACACACACATACACACACACTTTAGGTTCTTTTAATATGACCGGTATCAGAAGACCACATTTGGTAGGTATCCTGTTGTCCGTATTCATTCCTGTTTGTTTGTCCAGGTTGTTCTTTGTGGGGTCTCGTGAGGGACACCTTCCAGACGCTCTGTCCATGATCCACATACAGAGATTCACTCCAATCCCTGCTCTCATCTTCAATGTAGGGAAATGCACAATACATGTCACCTATAGTTGTGGAAGTACAGGAAACCAGAATGGGTTTGGTGTTAATGGAAACTAGAAGGATCTGGCAGCTTTTCATCTCTTCCTGTTTTCATCCTCCCTCTCTTCCTCTGCCCACTCTCCAGTGTGTCATGTCCCTCATCTACCTGACAGTGGAGGACGTCTTCCAACTCATCAACTACTACAGCTTTAGCTACTGGTTCTTCATGGGTCTGTCAATCGCCGGGCAGATCTACCTCCGCTGGAAAGAGCCCGACAGACCCAGACCTCTCAAGGTGAGACCATTAAACACACCTGTGGAAGCCTGTGCATCCATCCAGACTGCGCAAACTCTGTGCAGATTTTAAGTGTGATCAGTGATTATTAATATTGACGATTGTTCAAGATCTGTAGTAGGAGTAGTGAAAACCGATCTGGACCAAATTCAAAATCATGGAAAATGAAAACTGATTTATCCGTGACTCGTGAGGGGAGAATCCAGGAAAAGGAGTATTTTGTTTCTGAGAGCTAAGGTTCAACAGTTATAGGCTGAAATGTAAAATGAATTGTCTTAGCGTCACCATCTTGTCAACTGTTGTTTTGATAACCAGATCATTGTAGTGCAGAAGAGGAAGATAAAATAGGGTTCCGGAAGCTTTCCTGCTTGGACTCGTAATAAACACATTTCCTACTTTGAGAAATACTGCAGGTTTGTCCTATTTAAAATTATGCAGCTTAATAAAGTCAGACATTTAAGTTAGGATAAAACATTTTTAAAAACATTGGCTAAGCTGACAGCCTGTGGGTAAGCTCTGGATTGTAAACAGACAGAAATTCAATAAGTTAAAAAGTGAAGGAGATAGGTAAATGGTATATGCTATGGCAATACTATGTATATGTGTATTTACAATGAATAAAATGTATTAGTGTATTCCTGCTGTCGTGTCAGATTAAGATCATACCATGCACATATAACACATGGCTGTCACACATCAGTGACACCATTCAGAGAGTCTGAAAATGACAGTCGTATCATTTCGGAATTTCCCCATTGTGGGACAAATAAAGGAATATCTTATCTTATTAAAGCAAAGATTTTCAAATTAGGTATAAAAATATGTTTGTTGTGTGTGTGTGTGTCTTTGCAGTTGACCTTAGTGTACCCGGTGGTGTTCTGTCTGTGTACGGTTTTCCTGGTGGCGGTTCCTCTCTACAGCGACACCGTCAACTCTTTGATCGGCATCGGCATTGCCCTGTCAGGGGTTCCCGTCTACTTCCTGGGTGTCCATCTACCACAGTCCAAACGACCGCCTATCATCACCAAGCTGCTGCGTGAGTCTACCACACACCCAGCACCCTAAGGCAACGTGTCATTTGAGCTGTACCTTACCTCGCCTCAGCAACGTGCTAACAGGTTGTTTCCTCTTACCGCAGGTTCTCTGACTCACTGCACCCAGTACACCTGCTACTGCGTACTGACAGAGCTGGACAAAAGTGAATAGCGTCCTATAGGCCTCAAAGCAGTCTCTGCGTCCTCACAGCTGACAGTCACCAGGGGACCCTTCTGTGGGGGGGGGGGAAGGATTTATGACTCTGTTACCAACACAAACACTCAATCTGTTCCGCTACTCTGCGGCTCTCGCTCTCAGTAGCATCTCCCTCCCAGGTCCAGCACACTACTGCAAGATAAAAGTAGAGTGATTAGGCACCGATCAGCAGCTGAGGGAATCAACTCACCCGGTGCTGCTCTCACAAGCCTTCCCCACGCCTCTCTCTCCTGCAGCTGAGTGCAAACCACAGCCACCTCCACAGACTCTTTTCTTAGACTGTACAGCATTTTGAAGCACTCAGACTGACGTGTTTTACGCCACTGAAAATGCTGCCACACATGTTCACTCGCACATCCTGAAGTTCGAGGACGATCGAGGACTTCAGCCCGTAAGGATAGACAGCACTACTGTAATGCCTGTTGTGGTAATGGTTTCATTTCTTCATCACACAGTTTAGTGACCTTTGGCCTGGTTAGTTCTACAGGTAACTGTATGGATGCCTACAGAATGTGCCTGTGAGATTTTATAAATGAAAAGAATATAGGGAAGGGAAGGATTTGTTTGTTTTTTTGTCTGCTGCTACGTGAAGAGGTGGAGTCATTGTTCTAATGGCATTGCCTTTATGTTCTTGTGGTGCCACTGACTTACATTTTAACTTTCATTGCTATGTTGAAATAGAACATTGGTTTTTTTTTTTTTTTCATTTGGTGTATGAAATGACTTTTGTGAATGTTTGGCTGAGTGGTGAAGAAGGGAGCTGTAGCATTCCCGTTCTTTATGTTGCCTTTAAAAACTTCAGTTTATTCGCAGTCAGTGTTCCCCGTGCTATATCCAAGACAGATGTTAAGACTTTAGGTATCCATTGTAATGCGCCATCTTTATGTCCAGTTGTTTAACATTTGCACACATGGTCTCAAGTAAACTATGCCTCAGACAGACTATATGTCAGAATCACTGTGAGGAGTGGCTTAAATTAGAAAAGTCCACTTAATCCAGAGGTTATTCATGGAGCCATTATTCTCCCGTAGCAGGAAGATGTCAGCTGTGAGCCTGAGATGCTAAGAGTGCATGAAAGCAGTTTTCAACACTGATATAATAACATGCAGTTATTTCCAATAGTACTGTCTAAATCCATGAATCCTGTACGTTTTGAAATAGATAGTTTGATGTAGAAACAGTAAATGCAATGTATTGTTTGTCTGATATGGTGCACAGGACTGAAGATCTTATTCACTTTAACCTGGGCACCTCTTGGTTTCACTGAGGGCTTCACCTCGTGCCATTAATTAGATCATACTTTGGCACTGGTCCACTGCTGGTCCAGTGGTGCATCACACACACGCACACGGCCATGAGGTGCATTCTTAACTAAAATGTATTTAACCTTTTTTTTTTTAAATCATGTATAATGAGGAATCTGATGTGCAGTAATGCAGCCACAATTCCAAATCATCGTGGTTTGTTGAATGAAGCATAAGACAACTTGTTTTGTGCAGTGGTGGTTTTGTACATGGAGCATCTGTTCCCCCGATGTGCAGCACGCGGGATAGACGAGCTTGGACCAAATCCTGGCTAAGATGGCTGAGGCTGATCACACAGTAAGCTTTGACCCGGAGGCATTTAATCTTTTAGGCATCTCTTTGGCAATTTCATACCAGTTGTGACTTTCTAGAGTGATGTCACACAGGCGTTTATCATGCAGGACAAACTGACTCTGAGATGTTTGAAGTTTATTTTGAAAGCTTTCTTTTTATACACATCTACATATTTACAAAAAGTTGAATTCAACAAGCATCCAAGAGAAACAATCTTAACTTCAAAAAAGGGAATTTCTGAACCAAACTCGCACACCCACAACAAAATAAACGCACCACGCTTTCACATTATGCAAAAATCTTAACACACAATTACACCTACGCACACTACCATGCACAAAATGCAAACACCCTAAATTGCAACCACACGCAGCCCGAGACGTCTCACTAACAGAAGTGTTAACAGCACAAAGCATACCAGGCATTTAACACTAATACGCAAAATTTTCTAACACACATCCACTTTTAACAAACACCCACACACAAGTTCACTCCACCACAGTTAAAAAAAAAAAAAAAGACACTCTGGATCCTTCTGGAAATTACACCTACTCCTTCATCACCTGTGTAGTAGAGAGGGATGAGTTCACCATAAAAAGATGACCGTTTTCTGAACCAATAGGGGTCGACAAACTTTGTGACATGAAATTAAATGTTTCTGAACAAGTTACTGATTAAGAACAGGATGTTTTTCGTAAATCTGGTGAGTGCTACACATACATTGCTACACTTTGAGATGGGATGTGTTGAAGTGCATTTTTTCCCCCCAGGCATGTTTCTGTGCCCGTCAGTTCCCCCCCCTCCACTCTCTCATACACAGAGGTCTGTGGAGTATGGTGTTATATGTGAAGAGGGCAATGGGAAGATCCACTGACAGGGGGGTGGCTTAAGGGGGGAAATCAATCAGAATTATATTTGTCTCCATCATCATCCTCATCGTCATCAGCGCGGCAGCCCAGCTCATGCAGCTCTTCCCTCTGGTAGCACTGCCAGCTCCTCCGGCTGTACGAGTGCTCCTCCTCCCAGTAGCCTGCACACAAGAGACAAAGCAGCCAATCAGAGCGGGAGGATCTGGAAAGGTGTTGGCACTAAGTTTCAAGTTGAGATGGATAGGAGACGTCATAACAAGTGAAAGGTCCAACATGAGATCTAATATTCATAGGTAGGTCTTCATTGGTGTATAGTCATCTGAAAATAAGAATTGTGTTGTTGCCTTAGTTGAATTCATTTTGACCCTCACCTACGATGTTCCTGCCACCTACTACACTTCTGTTCTGTGCAGTACAACTACAGCATTAGCATTAGCCAGCATTAGCTTGTGTCAGCAGTGTCTAAACCCACACAGGCCTGAGTAACGCCTTCATGACTTCAGAAACACACACCTCCATAGCGCTCCTCTCTGTCGCTGTCTGCATCGCTGTCCTCATCAGGGTAGTCATTCCTCCAGTTGCCTTCCTCATTTTCATCATCCTCGTCTTCATACACCTCCTCTTCGCGAACCACAAGGTCGGGCACCTGGTACAAACAACAACGCTCATGTTTGTTGATTCATTACTGGTTTAAGTGTCCTCAGAGAAACTGTTTCTAATGATTAATAACTCTACAGACTCAGCTTTATGATTTAAGCCATAAACACTTCTGGACACTCGCTTTGTTCCCCTTTCAAATGTGTAAGATCGATTTCCCTGTTAGGAATGTTTTTAGCCAAAATGATAAGAAGGCAACAAATGTCAGGCACACTTCGGACAAAATTAAGCAATATTAGTGAGGGACAGTTTTATCCATACGCTGGTCTCATCTCCTGACTGGCCTAAAGCACAGTCTGACTGTCGATTTATCCAAACACAAATCTCACAGGCAGTTCGCACATAAAGGGTGTGAGTGAGCTCAGACCCCCCCCCCCCGGCCTACTCTCTACTTCACCCATGTCTTCATTCACTCACTCAGATGTCAGCACTCATTCATCTGTCCGTCCATCCATCCACACACACCAATTCTCCCTCATCGGCGTAGGCCCTGACAGACAGGATGTCCTGGATCCACCCTGGTGTGACCGTTTCCTGGTAGTAAAGGTCGTAGACGTAGTCAGCGTCCAGCTCGCGGTGCTCTTCCCCCAGCCTCTCTCCAGATATGCTCAGACGCTCCCGCAGCATCTTGGTGCTGTTGCACAGGATCACTTCTGGGTCTGAGGACAGCGTCTTAGAAAACACAGAGAGGACAAACTGATCAGTGATCCATAATAGCAGTGTTCACTAAGGTTCTTATTCTTTGTTCATGGTTACAAACCAGTTCATACTCTATGCAATAAGCAGCTCAGCAGCTGAAGCCTTTGTGTACTCGACATCACAAACACTTATTACTTGTATTCAAACAGCATTTCAACTGTTATTTGATGAGCTATTAAATATTTACTATTGATCCTGTTAAAAGCACTTGGGGACACAGACTGTGCTGTGATAACTTCTTGTACAAGCGTAATGCAGTACACAGCTTTCTTTATCATTGTAACCTGTAGTTCTATACACTGATGACAGAGCTGTGAATGGTGTAACCATGCCAACCAGCTGGACTCGCAAGATCGTGAGAATCCATTTCACCAGGTTTCAGGCTCTGTGGCATCCTACGGGGAGTGCTGGAAGCTGCTGTTCGCTGGGTGACGACAGGTGAGGAGTGAGTGCAGTGCTACAGAGGGCCATCACCACTGGAGAGTTTCTTCACTGAAGGAAAGAAGAACGGCTGAAGGCTTTTCTCCATGGAAAAGATGGTTTGCTCTGCTCCCCACTCACTTCAGTAAGAGTTTGATTACGTCCGATTGCTGGGCAGTATGAGCAACAATCTGCATCACCGTGTCCTTTAAGACTCTGCCGGTTCACAGTATTCTTTTATTTTTGCATCACTGGTCGTTTCTATTGGCTGATTTTCCTGTCAGGAGAGCATCAAATATAAAACACCAACGCCTCCTTTTCAAATTAAATATTTAAAGAGTCGTATAAATGCTATCAACATAAAATACTGTCACCATGGTGTCAGTGACAGTTAGTTGTGGGTTCTTAAGCTGTTGGTAAGAAAGGTGTACACACACTGTCAGTACACACA